AATGACGTTTTTTTTATGCAAAAAGCCCCGGCTTCCCTGAACTCCTCTTACATTTTACACAGTAGCCTAATTATCTTTTAAGAGATGGTTGGTGTTGTCATGTAGATGTGCAGTAAGGTTTCGGAATTTTCATTTTGCCCCCAGGGGGTCAAATGGGGGTCGAAAAATGACGTGTTTCATGCAAGAAGCCCCGTTTTCCCTGAACTCCTCTTACATTTGACTCAGTAGCCTAGTTATCTTTTAAGAGATGGTTGGTGTTGTCATGTAGATGTGCAGTAAGGTTTCGGAATTTTCATTTTGCCCGGGGGGTAAAATGGGGGTAGATTTTTTTTTTTAAATATTTGATATTTTTAATCACCCTGCATTCTAGAACGTCCCTAATATTTTATGTATAAGCTTTAAACTAGAAATATGTCTATAGGACAAGAATGTCCCACTGGATGTATATTACTTATGCTACAGGAAAATTTGTATTAGTGTATAAAGTTTGTTGAAAATATCTCGAACAGTTTCTTTAGAATTGAAACTAAAATCTAAATAAATTGGATGTAGATTATAAATTCTCACCAAATTATGTATAAGTGTATGCTAAACATAAAAATGTCTTAAATTATTTCTTTAAAACTGAGTGAAATACAAGTTAAAAAGGATGGAGGTCAAGGTCAGAGAAATGTGCAAGGTGAAGTTTTTGATGAAATCATCAGCATATTATGTATGAGAAAAATATCTTGAATGATTTAATGAAACTGAGCTTAACACTTTTTCTAAGAAAAGAGAGGTCAAAGGAAAGGTTAGGGCCAAAATGTTAATTGTTGCAGTTGAAAAGCTTACATCAGTATGAATTTACTATTAGCATATGAAGTTTGATAAAACTATAATTAATGGTTTATTTAAAACTTAGATAAACACATATTTTAAAAAGTGAGGTCAAGGTCAAAGGAAAATTCAAGGTCAAAATAAGTTGATGTATTAATAGCTCTCAGCAGTATGTATCAGCATATGAAGTTTGATAAATATATTATGAATTGTTTACTCAAAACTGATCTAGACATTAATTTTAGAAAAGTGAGGTCAAGGTCACAGGAAAGGTCAAGGTAAAAAAGAGTGAAGCATTGTAAAGCTTCCATCAGTATGTATGATCATGTGTAGTTTCATTACACAACTTGAATGGTTTTTTAAAAATAAATCTAAACAGTAATTTAAGGAGGCTAGGGGGTCAACAAATTATTTTTTTATCAACCACCAGTTATAACTTAAATTTTGGGATATGATATCTGAAGCTGTCAACTATCATTTGGCAAAGAAAAATTTCATAAATTTTAGTTTTAAAATTTGATCATTTCATTATATCTTTATATGGAGCTCTTCCTCTAAAGGAGATCAAAATAGTCTTAAAATGGCCACAACCACCCAGCCTCTTTAAAGAAAAGTTAAGTGTAGGTCAAAGGAAAAGTCAAAGTCAAAAAATATTGCTGCAGTTGGATATTTACATCAGTATGCATCAACATATGAACTTTGATAAAAATATCTAGAAAGTTTCTGTGAGCCCGATGGAAAGACAGATGGAAGGGTGGAGGACGGACATGACAAAAACTATACATGTATTCCTAATCATGGTGTGGCATAAAAAACTTGAATCTTTTCACATGTAATAAACATGTATAATTTGAATGCCCTTTTTTTTCTCTTTCAAATTGATCAATTTAAAATGTTATCTTTGGAAAGTAGGTAAAACTTTAAGGTCAAGGTCTCACTTGGGTTAAAAAATCATGGTATATTTAGAAAGTTTCGTGGTAATGTACATGTGAAATATGAAAGCACTATCTCTTATTATTCAAAAGTTATGACCAAGGTTAAATCTATTGTGACAGATGCACATACTAGCTCTCAATAAGATGGACAAACTGACAGACAATTGAGATTTAATGTCCCCTCCCTTTCCCCAAAACGGAGAACAATAATGCCCTTGCTGTTCTTGAGAAGATTTATGATGGAAAAAATCCCCTGCATATTTCTTAAAGCAAATCAATATTGTGTTTTTATGTCATTTTGTTTGTTGTTGAACATCCCTCTCAGGAATTATTCACTCATATGGAGACACCACCACTTGAAAAATAATGAGGACAAGTTAGATTTGAGGTCAACATTCATTTTAGGAGTTTTCAACCATTAAGACATAAAGAAATATTAACTCGATCCTTCCCCTCACCCCTTCCCACACCCCTGTTTGTTTATGTATGCAAACTACTACTTGTTTTTACATTTTAAAAAAAAAATTATACAAATAGTTTAATGTGAGCCATCTCTGAATGATTTTCATTCCTAATTCTAGGAAGATAGGATGACACAAATTCATGAATAAAATGTCAAGTAATCTTATCATTGATGCACTTTTATTTAATTTAATGCAGTCATATTGTTAACATTTCCAGCTCATTAGGAGAGTGGGAATGACCTCCTGGGGTTCATAACCTTTATACCATTAAATTTACATAACATAATAACACAAGAAACAAAATTATGGATAGTCAAATGGAAAAACTTTCCAACTATATAGGAGTCACATGATCATTTGTCATTACAGGGACAGGGAGTGGATTGGGAGATCCCCCCCCCGGAATTTGCAGGACTATAATATATACTGGAGGAAATAAAAATGACTTTGGATGCCCTAAGTGTCCCTACACCCTAGATAACAGACCCAACCATAACTTTTTTTTTTTTTTGCTTCTCAGGAAATTTTGGTCTGGAAACCCCCCTCCCTCCCAGTCCCAGAAAAAAATTCTGGATCTTGTAACTGAATGTAACGGGGGATAACTCTTCAGAATATCAAATTCGTCTATTGCAGCATCGGATGACCTTTGATCCTTTAAACTTGAACCTAACCGTTTGCATTTCAGACTATTTTACCCAAATCTATACCAAAACTTTGTACTTACCGATTGTCATTATTTAGGTCCTGTAATCTTCATGAAATATAATCCAATTAAAACACAAAATGAAATAATTCCTACTGACATATATGCAATGATGTGTATACCACACTAGTAGCCTACTGCACGTGCAGTGAAATCTAGATATGATAATGCCAATGGTAAAACTAGTACTTAAGTTCGGTACGTGACGCAAGCCCAATGTGATGCAGGTGTTCAGATACATGTATAGTTCAAGAAATAAAAATTGAAAATTATCATTTACAAAAGATGTTTTATCTTAACTTTGCCATCTAGGCCTATTTCCAAAAACAGGCAAATAAGGTGTGTTTTTGTGTGTGTGTGTGTGTGTGGGGGGGGGGAGGTGTGTGTGTGTGTGTGAGGGTGTGTGAGGGTGTGTGTGTGTGTGTGTGTGTGTTGATGGGAGAGGGGTGGGGGTTGACTAAATTGATTATGTATATGGCAGCTTTCAAGAAGTTTAGAACTGCCTAACCAAATATAAATAAACTTTGCACATTTTGAAAAATTCATCAAAAACGCTTTACACTAATTTGAATAATATTATTTGTTGTTGATCTATAGATATGAGAAAATAGATTTAAAAAGTTCCAATTATGTGCCAAAAATTTATAACCCCCCCCCCCTTTATCAAACCTAATTTACATCATTAATTTAATTCTGTTGTTTATTTTCAGATTGGTAATGAATTAAGAATATGAAATACCTATTAGATGGAGGCCCATGGATCACATGGTCACCTGAGCATATGATGCTCAATTTGATGAATACATGTATTATGTAAATTATTGAATTATATTGACTTTTTCCTTGGTAAAGCCCAATATGAAGAAGTGTGCATTTAGAGGTAAACACCTTAGTGCGGGTATTACTGTCTCATGACAGCATCTAGTTTCACATCAAATTTTTACATGAATTCGAATCTGATGACAATTATAAATTTCTTTTAAACTTGATTTACTTGTCAATCTTTTCCATTAGCTTAAGAATTGACAACGCAGAGATTAACCGATTGTATTTTTGCACATATCTTAACTTTTACGAGCTCCAATACACAGTGTAAAAATAGAAGCATGAAGTTTTATTTAATAGAAAACCATTACTGCATTTAGTCATATCAACAGCTCATTACCTATTCATTACCATTCATAGAGCAAATTATCTTCAAATCAGAAACCTTTAAAGTTTACGGCCGATGCAGATGTCAGTTGGAAAAAAAATGCTTAGATGTGTATATTTTTATTCCTGGCACGTAGACATATTATAGAAAATGTAAGCACGTTAGCGTAATATTGAAAGGAGATAGAGAGAGAACAATACATCATTTCTCTTTTATGCTTAACATGTACTATGTAGATCATGTATAAATAGATGTACATATGCATACACAGTATTTAAGTCATCAAAATTTCATTACTTTTACTTTTTATTTCCACCACGGTCGTTTCTAAATACTTAGTGCTTAATTCAACCTTTTTAGATTTTTGAGTCGTTTCTCTTCTAAAAATGAAACATACAATGGCGCAAAATTCAATAATACAATATCATGTCGTACTTTACAATACTTGATATCATTATAATACAAATATACACAATAAATATAACTATACACAGTTAACTATCGTCAAATCATTATAGTTTTGATACATTTTTATGCAATTGTAGAAGACATTACTGCTTATTTCAATATAATTTGCATTGGTAGATTTTTGGTGTTTAAGTAGTCACAATGTTGAATTACAATACGATTACCGCATAATATGACATTTACTTCGACAGAGATGATAAGTTTCACATCTACCAGACAGCAGCTTACCGAACTTCATTTGAAATTTAAGTGCTGCCAACCATTACATTATCCAGATGTTAGTGATATTCTACTATTGCTTTGATAATTATTCTGAATGAAACTTAAACTGCAGACATTGTTTTCGATATCTCTTTTCTTATTTTGTATCAGATCCCTCTTCTTAGCAAAAAGAAAGTATTTTTTAATTTTAAAAAAAAATGCATATGTTGTATTAATGATAATTTTTGAAAAAATACAAATTTGATTGCAGATTGCAAAGTTCATTTATTCAAACTGTAATAAAATATAGTTTTACAAAAGAACAACTGAAGCATTTGTCTCTGTTCACCGCTAAAGGACAGCAGAGGAATTCGTGTCGATAACAGTCTTTACAATATCGCAACCACCTGACAGCTGCATCCACCCTCGCCACTAACTGTGATCATCATTCCTCTGACTCCTTCGTTTTCTTCCGCATGGTATTTTCTTTCTAAGACTCCTTGGGCAATAAGTTATCCCATTGCAACCGCATTTACAAGTGTATCGAGTACACAAAGAGACCAACGAGAAAGTTTGATTTCCTCGGTATCGCTTCCCCATGCTATAGCAATCTCTACAGGACTGAACAGTGCAAGCGACGACCGCAAGGAAGGCAAAGAGAAACAGCAGCTTCATCTGCATAACAATAGGTGGCTATTAAATGTATAATTACAATATCATCTAGCAAAAAAGGAACAATATAGAATATACATGTAATTGACATATATCGCAAGTTTCAATTACAAGTGCATAATGATGTATGGTCTTGGTTTTATTTGGGCCTTAAAAATTTATTGTGTTCAAATTTTTATGAAATTTGCTTTCATATGGGTTGAGTATATGAATATAATTATAAACAAAAAATATGGCAGATTAAAAGATCTATTCTGTAAATTTGGTACATTTCTTAGCTTTAAAGAGAAAGAAAAAAAACAGAAAAAGTGTTATTTGTGGGGTAATTTTCATTTGAAAAACAATGACCACTTACAATCACCTCCATATCAATTTCAAGATATATTGTGTTGTAAAATTGTTTGTATAAAAGTCACATTTTCAGTACGATTTTTGGCGATGCATATGCTTTATATCCTCTTTAAGTAAATTTCAATGAAAACTGGTGTTTTCTACAACTCTTAAAGAAAATAAGGAAAAATACATACAATTTCGTGACAAAAAATGTGCATGAGAAAAATTTATTTATTTATTCTTACGACATGCATGGAATTTTTTTGATTCAGAGGGCGTGAGATTAAATTTATTACTTCACTTTCATATTTAAAAAAAAGTTAAAGAGCACATTTTCATCAAAACTGTACATTTAGCGAATTTTCAAAGTTTTTTTTTCGCATGCAGAGCATAACGGTAGTAAGAGATCACTATACCCGGCGTCTGTCTCTCTGTCTGTCACACCTTATATCTCAAAAACTGTAAGAGATTTGGACCTGATATTTTGCATATTTTTTGTTTGGCACTGTGGCATTTGTAAATTGCCATGGTTACCAACCTCATGCCCATTTATCTTGTCCTTTTACCTACTTTACTTACAAGTAAAAAGTGTCAATATACAGCATACTTTTGACATTTAAGGAGTAGTTCACTTAATGGCTCTGGTAAATTAATTTTAAAAATTTGTTTCTCTATAATAATTTTATCAAAAATCAAATTTTTCAACATTTGTCAGTATACAGTATTTGTCAGAGAAAAAATTGTACGTTTTTACTGAAAGGTGTTACGAACAATGGGAAAAAACTGATTAAAATTATAATAAAATGATTCCTGGATGCATGACGAGTGTCTGCTTTTGGCAACAATTTAAAAGATTGAATAATTGATTAAATAAAGAAAATATACATTTTTATAATTCTTTTAGTCAACAATTATTTGCATTAAAACTACCGGTATTGAAATATCAAAAGTATTTTTTTTTTTCTAATTTATGAATTAAGATATATATATATATATTTTGCAAAAAAATAGCAAAAAAAAAAAAAAAAAACATGTGACGTCATAGGAGGATGGAACTGACATCAGATAATTTTTAAATTTCTTTCGATGATATTTTTACTTTTACCATTCATAAATGATTACAAGAAACATAAAATAAAGTAAAAGAAGACAAGCATAATAACCTTACTGGAAATCTAGGCTTTACTTGATAAGTACATACCTTTATTACAGGGTTACACAATGAATGAATGGAAAATATTTGGTCATTATCTTTTATAGTAAACAATTAACACTTAATATTCATACCATTAGTTTATTATCACTATTTGTCAAAAAAATAATACCATATGTAAAAAAGTAAATCAGACCATTCATTTCAAATTAATCACTCAAAATTACCTCAAAAATATAGTTATATGTAATTGAAAAATTGCATTAATTCGTGTAATTCATCTCTAAATAGGTTAACTTTTGCTTTACCGCACCATCCTAGACAGAATTATTACCACAGCATCACCAAAAAATGGTGATATTTGTTCATTATCCTCTCTGACAAACTCAGCCTTGTGCATGAAAATGGTTAGGATAGCAAATGCTCAAAATATTTGCAATCTAAGCATTAAATTTTAAGCCTTTTCCATTCTTTCTCTCCACCTTGTATTCGCTTCTTTTTCTTTAACCTTTAAAGGTGTGTTTAAGATTTCCTCTGAATTTTTTTTCCAATGATTTCCTTTCCTAAATGATCTTGTACGACGTCCCTTTTCAGGAGTTAAAAGCGATACATTTAACTATTACAATTATATGAAATATATATCAAAAAGAGCTCATTTACGGGCAATTCTTTTTTTTTGAAACATGATGTGGGTTGGGGCATACCCCTTTAAAAGAATAATACGACTCAGATATTTCTTTTAACTAACACAAAAAGGAAAGATAAATATTAACTCAACTTTGTTTTTTTTTTTGTCAGGGGAAAAAGATAATTCCTGAAAGGAGGTGTGGGTGAAAGATACTTCTCGCTACAAGCCACTAAATAGACTCTTTCTACCAACTTATGTCTGTGTTTGTAGGGGTGGAGAATTGGATTACTTCTTCCGGCTAATTTATTTTAAAAATCTAATAACTTTTAATTGAATAGCTCTCTCTGTGCACTCGCGCATTCGTATTGGCTAGGGATGTGAACAAATATTCATTTGAAGACTCGACTATCTTGTGTATATACATGTGTGTCAAATTTCGACTAAAATTTATTTCAGTCTGTTATTCGTAAAAAAAAATGCTATTCAGATTGAACCTAATTAGCTTCATAATTCATCAGTGTCCATGCCCCACGGTTGAGGGCTCTTCCGAGTAACACAAGGAAAATGAAGCATATTATTTTTCTTTTAAGTGATTATTTAGTGTTAATTAATCTAATACAAACATATATACCTATGTATGTGTTTCCTTCTAATCATGTACAGGCATCAGCTACAATAGGAAAATATCAGTAAAATAAAAAAAAAAAAAACTGTATGTACAATATAAAATGTTTTTCAATTTTATTGAATAAATGTTGTTTGCAAAAATATCATGTAATCACACATAAAAACCAAAGAAGTAATTAAAACAATGTTTTGTGTGTGTGTGTGTGTGTGTGTTCAAAAGAAAACAACTTTAAAATCTTTGACAGTTTCATATTAACTTACGTATCTGGTCCTCCCATCTTCGTTAGCCAAGGGTTTCCGATCCAAAATCTACTCTACAACCCTTGGCAGATTTGGCTGAAAAATTTAGAACTCGCGCGAACGAATTTGATTGGCTGCGAAGTCCCAGTTTTTACTAATCGACGATTTTCGGATGAATTAAAGTATGTTCGTGTTTTATGCCAAAGAAGGGTATTATTTACAAGGGTTGAAAGTTAGGACGTGATATATGCTAAAAAACAAGGGAGTAATTAATTTGAATTTTTTTTTCTTTCGATTATATATGTTTTCAAGAATTATTGAAAGGACCACATAAGTCCGTGTTCCGCATTTAAAGTGCATGAATTTAAGCCAATCAAATGTCACGGTTCATTGATGGTAATTGATACGGCATCATGTAGAAAGTGTTGTAAAACTCTTGATAAAAAATCCACGAAGAACGATATTTTCTACCACTTTTGAGGTGTGCCCACTGACCACAGCTGAATGAGGATGTTGGGTTAATATTCCACATCAAATTGCATGGAGGACGCCATATTGTTTCAAACGTCATATTGATTTTCGTATGTTACAGCTATGTTCATTGGACAAATATTAAAGAGCTTCAGTGGACTTAATTCAATTACGGCGATAGGCGGCGCAATTAAAGTTCCCGTTTGAAAGGACTAAATCTGCCAAGGGTTGTAGAGTAGATTTCGGATTGGAAACCCTTGGCTAGCGAAGAGGCTGGTCCTCCATGACGGACAGTTGTAAGATCCATCACAATTACAAACACAATCAAATCGGTAGCAATCCATATCGAATCGGAACCGACCACGTCCGTATCTTCTTCTACCAACCTTGCAGTTTTGACATTGGTTTTTATTTCTTGGCGGACTGCGGCAGTCGTTCTTAGTGAGGAAAGCCGGACAGTGATATGATCCGTCACAACTGCATTGACAAGTATACTGAAGACACCTATTACTGAACTTGAAAATTGAGTCTACTGAATAAAGTTGTCCTTTCACATAGCAATCACTACAAGACTGTGCACTGTAAGCGATGATAAAGGCAAATGAGAGAACAAGCGACTTTAACATCTTAAAACATTTTTTCCCCCAATAAGATCTTTTTTACTTAGACATGTAATTTAATAATTATATGTACTTGAAAATCAATACAATATAGAATGTTGGCTATGCAGATTATAATTATTACTCTTTCAAAGCGACAGGGGGATGTAATGTCTTAACATGCATGCTTTCCGCAAACCATTGGAAAGCAAATACGCAATTTACTAAGCCTTGATTTGTTATATGAATATTTCACAATCTTCTTAACAGTCCTCTCTTAAAATTAAATCACTCGTATGTGTAAATATTTTGCATGAAAAAATATAATATCTGTAAGATACAAAGGAGTCATAAATTAATGGAAGTATTTATTTTTCTTGCACTTACCTTTATTTTTCACGAAAAATGTTCGGATTAAATAAATTTTGTCATCTTTTATATAAAACAAAAACTATGTCAATCGTCTACTACCTTTTTATTTCATGTATGTCATAAAATTTTCATTGATAGACAAATTATCAACATATAATTTTATGTTATAATATTTGGAAAATGATGTAAACCTACAAAATTGACAATTAACATAAATGTCAATGGGGAGAATGCTTTCATAACAATTCTCTTTTTAATATTTAGGAAATATTTTATCATAAGCATTATCATAAAAGGTGCGCTTGGTGGTACATGTACTGGAGTGTAATAAAGAGTAATAAACAGATTTAATGATAGTGGTGAATGTGTAACCAATGAAAAATGATTAATTATGAACTAGCTGTCAATTAATCGTCAGCTGAATATGCAAAAACTATTGATCACTAGTTGGATGGATTTTTGAAAAGCAGTCAACTGTTTCGCATATATAAAATGATCAATTTACCATCCGTTGAAAGATTATCACTATGTTGATCAAACTTTGAATATATACTTTAACAATTTCATGCAATAAAACAATTGAAGATTCCGATTTTTGTAAAATCTAAAAGAGTTTACTCTGTTTGACCACTCAGAATTAGAAAATTAATTCCCCTCTAACTTATGTTGGGTTTGGAATAATGACATAATTATATAGCAATTTCATAATTTAAAGATCGTTTTGTGAATGATTCAGCTTGTGCAATCCATGTAATTGATAAAAGTTAAAAACCTTTTTGGAGGAAAAAAAGCAAAAACACATAGCAGAACATCGATAAAAAGATAATTTGATTAATTTTACTCAATAGGTAGCAGATGGTAAATTATTATCATCGTTTATTTGTATGACAATACAAATTGATCTTTTACAAGGGCAAAAACTGAATAATCATGATTTGCCTGAAGAGTTTAAAGATTCGAAAATTGCTACATATATGAACGAAGGATATTGAAATAACGAACAGTATTCAACATCCAAGTCAATAAAACAGTACAAAATAGGAGCAGAGCAAACATGGACCTCAAAAACATCGGAGGTGGTATCAGGTGCCATGGTGGAGATACCGGTCTCTCTCGCCGTGTGCTCCTTGTCATGATCGGGAAATAACGGAAGAATCCGTTGTCAATTCCGGAATAAATAATAGGCTAATAATAAGTATGAAAAACGTACGTCAGCATTTGTCTCAATGATAAGTTGTATTTGCTGACAAGGTCATTGTATCGAACAAAGATAACTTACGAAATGATTACTTTAAGTGAGACTGCTGATATTCTTGTTTCATCAACTTGTTATACCCCCCGCTTAAAAAGTGGGAGGATATACTGTAATCGGCATGTCCGTACGTCCGTCCAGCTGTACGTCCGTCAGTCCGTCTGTCTGTTAGGCTTTGGGGTACCCATCCCTTATCCGCAACTCCTCTTATATTTGTGGCGTCGGTAGTCCAATGGCTAAGTTGCCGGACTCCAAACCGAAAGGTTGTGGGTTCGAATCCTGGCCGCGACAAGCCGACGTTGTGTCCTTGGCAAAGGCATTTTACACGAATTTCCTCACTCCACCCAAGTGTAAAAAGGGTACCTGGCTATAGACAGTGAAAGATATTGTCAGAATGTTAGTGTTCTAGCGCTGATAACGGCAGCTTGCACTGAGAAAGATTCTGGATTGTTAAGGTCTGCTGGGGAAATAATGTATTGTAAAGCGCTTTGAGTAGCATTTATGCTAGAAAAGCGCTATATAAAAACAAGTATTATTATTATTATTATTATTATTATATCAGTGAGTGAAATTTAATGAAACTTTCACACAGTCTTAATAACATATTGCCATTGTGCACCTCCAACTTTACTTTTTGATCCGACACGTATTTTAGGTTTACCATAGCAAAACAAGGACATTGCCATTAAATTCTTACCTATGACGTGAGTTATGGCGGCTTCTGAATAACATTAGATACCACGAGTTATTCCTCTTTATACGTCACTGTAAAACAATATATAGCAAATCATGGACATAATGGGATGCTGGGGGTATCATTTAGTGAGCTCCTTGCTCATAGTTCCTCTAGTTTGTCAATAATTTACCTCCTTGTAGAAATTTTAACGCTAATCTTAAAGCTTCATTTAATTTT